TTGGAGCCAACTTGGAGCCTCTTTGGAACCTCTTGGGGGCCTCTTGGAGTCCTCTTGGGGCCTCTTGGGACCATCTTGGGCGCCTCTTGCGGCCTCATGGGCGCCTCTTGGGGCCATCTTGAGCGCCTCTTGGGGCCATCTTGGGTTTTAAAGATTCATGAAGAGCCCGCGGGTGGATTTTGATATTTTTCGGATGAGAAAGTCTTGCGTTTGCATATGTTTTCGGAACATCGCATCTTGAAATTATTGAAATCACATTATGTTTGGCAGGATTTCGGCACGCGCGCGCGGCGGCCGCGCGCATACACATCGCACCACTTTCTCAACACTGATCGGGACACCAAGACAGCTTTCCGTCGCATACGCAACACGGTATGCAACGTGCGGTACTTCAGCCCTGGATATACATCGCGCATGTGGTCACCAAGTGCCGCGTTGAGCTTTTCGGCCGTGTCGTACTGCAAAGGTCCAGAGTCAGGGTGATACTTCACGTACCATTGCCTCAAAACCATACCGCTGACAGCGACGGGAGGATCGCTCTCCGAGAGAAGCTGCGAGAGGACCTCCGCGGCGGCATCGTCGGCGAAGCTCTCCCGATACTGATTGAGTCGAAGACGCTCGCCCATACATTCCTCCACAGCTTGGGCAGTGTTGAGTGCCCCCTTGGCGCCCCACTCCGTGCTGAGCCACTTCTGGCATACCCTGGCGTTAGCAGATACAGATAAATGTCCAAGGAGCCACTGCTTCAAGACGGCCCCGTCAGTGGTCCCCTCGGGCATGTCTTTGCGAATACGTTCTCCATACCAGCTCTCCAGATGGCCAGCGTTCTGCACTTGGACAAGCGTGTCTTTCGATGAATACTGCAGTAGCCACGCCGTTGCGACCCTATCTGGCACATACAGTGGTGGATCCAACTGTCGGAGCGCCCGGCATAATTTGTAAGCGGTATTATACTCGATGCCCAGGTGGCGGATGGCAGACCCGTGCTGCTCCTCCAGCTCCTTGGCGCTAGAAATACTGACCTTGCCAGTCACAACCCGATACTTGGCCCACCAAGTCTTGCACGCCTGGTGACTGGCATTGATACCCTTTGCCGCGAGCGCCTGATGCAAATAATACGCACTCTCGCAGTCGGCCAAGGGAGGCCGGGACAGCTCTGCGCCATACTGCTCGTGAAGGTCTTTCGCCGTCAAAGCCATGATCCAAGAACACAGGCGATACCTTGATCCGAGATGGCTACGGATATGAGCGTGAGAGGAAGGGGGGAAGCCTCCTGGGGCCGCTGGGGGTCCTCTTGGGGAAGGGGGGAAGCCTCCTGGCGCCGCATGGGGTCCTCTTGAGAGGCTTTGGGGGGCTTCTTGAAAGCATGTTGGGGCCTCTTGGGGGCTTATTGGATCCTCCCGGAGGACTCTTGGAGCCGCTTGGACGCCTCCTGGGGCCATCTTGGGGGCCTCTTGGAGCCAACTTGGAGCCTCTTTGGAACCTCTTGGGGGCCTCTTGGAGTCCTCTTGGGGCCTCTTGGGACCATCTTGGGCGCCTCTTGCGGCCTCATGGGCGCCTCTTGGGGCCATCTTGAGCGCCTCTTGGGGCCATCTTGGGTTTTAAAGATTCATGAAGAGCCCGCGGGTGGATTTTGATATTTTTCGGATGAGAAAGTCTTGCGTTTGCATATGTTTTCGGAACATCGCATCTTGAAATTATTGAAATCACATTATGTTTGGCAGGATTTCGGCACGCGCGCGCGGCGGCCGCGCGCATGTGCACTTCGTGTCATTTTTTGCAAGGGATGGTGGCCCTCGTAGGCTCGCAACCGTTGTTGCAGAAGGTCGAAGCACCTGAAAAGGTTCCTCGCAAAGGCCCTTTTAACAGAAATGTTTAAAATCTGGTGGGTTTCCTAGGAATCCGCAAGAGCGCGCGGAAGGACATTTTGACAATTTTTTCTGAGAAAACCATTGGGTTTTTGATGTTTTTATGTTAAAATCGTTACGAAACCTAAGGTTTTGGAAGGATTTCGTCTTGCGCGCACGAATGTCCACTTTACCTTATTTTTTGCAAGGGATTCTTGCAATTTGATCAAGTAAAAACAAGAATTTTCATTTTCTATTGTTTTTTGCAAGGGAAAACGAGCGTCAACAAAAAACCGGATCCGGAGCTCATCCACTTTTCTGAAGCTTTCGCGAAAAAATGATGAAAATGTAGCTGCGGCCTAGGCGCGGCGCAGAGGTCGCGCACCAGGGGTCCCAACAACAATAATTCTTTAGAAGGAATAATGTTCAACAACAACAGCAGCAGCAACAACAACAGCAACAACAACAATAACAACAACAGCAGCTGCAGCAGCAACAACAACCAAAACAACAACAGTAACAACAACATCAACAACAACAACAACAACAACAACAACTACAACCACAACAGCAACCACAACAACAACCACAACAACAGCAACAACAATAAGATTAAGATTTACAACAACCACAACTACTACTACTACTACTACTACTACTACTACTACTACTACAGCCACAACAACAAAAACCACAACAACCACAAAAAGGACCATAACAGCAACAACAACCACAACAACCACAACATCAACAACAACAACAGTATCAATACTACAATGATAGAATACAAACAATAGAAGTGTACTAAATCAATACAAAATACAAATATTGAGAGCACAATGACACTAATAATGTCAACAATGGTGCGAATGCAAGTGATGACAATACGAACACATGAAAACACTCGCATACGACTAACGAATAGGAGTGGTAACTGAATATGGTCATCATTATCATCATCATCACAATCATCATCGTACTAATACTGATACTGATACGAACCAAGAGTACTACTGCATAGATGGCGAAAACAAGTATCTAAACTCGTGCGAGAAAATGACACAATGAGCAGCACTACCCATAGTATGGATACGGATAATACAGTAATATTGGGAGGAAGAAGAGGGAAGAAGAAGAAGAAGAAGAAGAAGAAGAAGGAGGAAGAGGAAGAAGAAAAAGAGGAAGAAAAAGAAGAAGAAGAAGAAGAAGAAGGAGAAGGAGAAGAAGAAGCAGAAGAAGAAGAAGAAGGGGCGGCCCTGTCCGCGCCCCCTGCGTCGTCGCAGCCCGATCCGTCGCGTCCCAGGGGTACGTCCGTGCACGTGCGCGGAGGGGGGCCGACGGGGAGGGGCCGTCCCGAGCCTCGACCCGGCCGGCCCCGGGGCCCCCGCCCGCGCACCAGTGTCAAGTCGGGCCTGTCCCCCTACATAGGAAGGCCTGTCCCTCTACAGGAGGAATATCCAAACAAAAAAAGGCAAGAAGTGGTACCAGGACGATCTTCGGACCATTTTTGGGCTATTCGGGGGTATTTTTGGAGTATTTTTAGTGTTTCGTCTAAAGTCGGCCTGTAGTCGGAGGGCACCAACTATACACCAACACCGATCCTGGCCCAGGATCACCCTGGGCCCAGGATCGGTGTATACGCCCTCCTGCCTTGCGCAAGAAGGCATATGCACCGATCCTGGGCCCAGGGTGATCCTGGGCCAGGATCGGTGTTGGTGTACAGTTGGTGCCCTCCGACTACAGGCCGACTTTAGACGAAACACTAGAAATACTCCAAAAATACCCCCGAATAGCCCAAGAATGGTCCGAAGATCGTCCCGGTACCACTTCTTGCCTTTTTGTTGTTTGGAGATATTCCTCCTGTAGAGGGGGACAGGCCCGACTTACCACCAATGTTCTGCGGCCTGGGGGGCCGCGCGAGGTCCTCGGCCACCCCCCCTTCCGCCCCTGCCGCACGGCACAGCCGGGCGTTTTCGCCTTTTGCGGCGACTGAGATCCTGGCGACTCAATTCTTTCGAGCCGGGGCGCTTTCGCCTCCTTTCAGGTCCCGGGGCCCTCACAGATCGATCTGGCTCGAAAGGTGACGCAGAGAGATGGGGGGTCATTGTCTCCCCCCCCACTTCCCATAGTTTCCCACATTTTCTGGGGAATCGACGATTCATTGTGTCTGTGTGTGTTTTTTCCCGTGCTCTCCCTCTGGGACTTCGCCCCCGGCTCCTGTCCAAGGCGTACCTTTTCCTGTGCAAGCTCTTCGGCACCGCCTGTACTCCGCACCCTCCGGCCGCCTGAGGCCCCGCCCGCCCGCGCCGTCTCCCCAATTAGTGCTTCGCGCGCCCCGCCTAGCTCTTAACCGGAAGAGGCCCGCTCTCGACCCGCCGACCAAAAAGTCTCCCCCCCCACTTCCCATAGTTTCCAACGGTTTCTGGGGAATCGACGATGCACTGTGTCTGTGTGTTTTTTCCCCTCGTCGAGCCTCCCCTTTCCGCACCTTCCCCTACTCACCATCATCAACAGCAACATCAGCATCATCATCATCATCATCAGCATCATCCTCTTCCTCCTCATCCTCCCTCTCCTCCTCCTCCTCCTCCTCCTCCTCCTCCTCCTCCTCCTCCTCCTCCCTCCTCCTCCTCCTCCCCTCCTCCTCCTCTCCTCCTCCTCTCCTCCTCCTCCTCTCTCCTCCTCCTCCTTCCTCCTCCTCCTCCTCCTCCTCCTCCTCCTCCTCCTCCTTCCCCTCGTCGAGCCCCCCCGAATCCTCCCCTCGTCGAGCCCCTGCTCGAGACCCCCCTTTCCGCACCCGCCGCACGGCAGACGGCGCGCCGCGGCGCGGAGCCTGTCGCGCGGCGGGCTCGGAGGAAGGGGGGTCGAGGGGAAGGGGGGGGGCGGCCCTCCGAGGGGGCAGGGGTGAGGTCGGGCATGTCCTCCTGACCGGCGAATATTGGACGAGGAACCACAGAAGCCCCCACAGATGCTCCAAAATTGACAAAAGCAAATACTCAAGAGGGGAACAAAAAGCGGCATAAACACAAAAACTCGGAGGTCCGCGCGGATCTCTCGGGGCGTGCCCGACTTAAGGCAGGGGCCCTCCTCTGGAGGAGCCAGCCGCTCTGAAGACCGACCTCGCTCGGGCACCCTGTCTGCGCGCCGCCGGGCAGGCAGACGCGGCGGCCTCGGAGGCTGGGGCAGCAGCTCGGGAACACTTTGCCCTTGAGCCGAGGAGGAAAGGCTGCTGGAGGTGAAGGGGGAGGGGAGGGGGAGGGGGAGAGGTGGCGGAGAGGCGGAGAGGCGGAGAGGGGAAGCGGAGGGAAGCGGAGAGGGAGGGCAGAGGGGAAGAAGCGGGAGGGGAAGGGCAAGGGCAAGGTCGGGACACGAGGAGGCCACGTGTCAACTGCACCTGACTGCGACAAACGATCGACAGCCTAATCTCCCTCCCCCCGATCGATCGACCGCGCAAGAGTTTGAGGGGCGCCACCGCCCGGGCTGTCCAGCGCAGCCGAACCCGTACTCCTGGACCTGTGGCCGGCGCGGCGCCCCGTGAGCGAAGGTGCCGACGAGAGCCCAGGCCACCAGGCCCGCGTTCTCTCCTCCTCCTCCTCCTCCTCCTCCTCCTCCTCCTCCTCCTCCTCCTCCTCCTCCTCCTCCTCCTCTTCCTCCTCCTCCTCCTCCTCTTGAAGCCTTGCACCTCCGGCTCCTCGGAAGGCCGGAGGGCTCTCGAGGAGCGAGAGGCCCCGCCGCCTGCTGACGAGGCCCGCCCCCTCCTCGCCTCGCCCTGCCCCCCCTTGGCGCGCCGCCAAGCTCTGCCTCGCGAGCGCTCGACACGACGCAGGGCGCTCCCGGCATCGCCCCCCAGGAGGGGCCCCGCCCACCGCGGCAGGGGGCACGGCCTTCATGCCCTCCTCCTCCTCCTCCTCCTCCTCCTCCTCCTCCTCCTCCTCCTCCTCCTCCTCCTCTTCCTCTCCTGAGCCCCAAGCGGTCCTGACTTTGGCCCCAGCCTCGGCACGGATTGCTCAGCCTCGATCCATCGCAAACTTTCCGACAGCGCTGATCCAGGCCTGCTGGCGGCGTTCAACCTTGAACGCCCAGGCCGGGGTCGCCACCGCGTCATCTCGACACGCAACTATCGTGCATGCTCACAGAATCTCCCTCCCAATAGGCCCTTGGAGGCCACAAGAGGATCCCGAGGTATCCCCCAGGGTGTTCCAAGAAGCCACCACGAGGGCCCCAGGGAGACCCCAAGAGGCATCGACGAGGCGGGCCTCTGGTCGATAACGTAGCGGATGGGCCGAAGGGCACCATTTGGGATCACGCATGGGGGCCAGTTCGAATGCACGAGGAGGCACACGAGGATCGACGCAAAACATACAACGAGCTGCGTACTGCTTCGAAATACGTTCCACTGCCCAGCCATACTCCGTGAGGAGCTAAGCTATCAAGTAGTTCGAAGCACGTGAGAAGAGCTCAAAGTGCATGCCAGTATGAAAACACAGAGAGGCCCTATTTGTATCGTCGGGAAGACTGGAAAACTTCGCCGTTCTGGTAACTGCAACACCCCAGCTCGACTGGCCGTGTGCTCAAAGCGAGGAGCAACGGAGGAAAACTTGCCAGCATGCCGGGCGCACATTCTAATCGCGAAGCAGGCCACTGTAAGTCCTCTCGGCGCTGGCCCGCAATGCGGAGCAACTGGAGATCCAAAATAACTCGCCTCAGGAGGACTCAATGTTGTCCCCAGCCTGCTGCAAGCCAAAGAACAATCCAACACATGCCCTCTGTGATAGGAAGGCTTAGAGAGCCCGACGAGGGGATGCGCAGGGCCCAGAGGGGCGATCCAAATGAAGAAGGGCCCCAAAAGAGCTCAAATGGGGTCCCGAAGGCTCCCCAAAGAGCCCAAGAGAGCCCCGAGATGCACATGCATGCGGCCCGAAAGGAAGGGGGCGAATTCAAGCACCCATCTCTTGTGTTGTTCCTGTCTTGTTGCGATTGTGCGGTCGAATGTAGGGGCCGATTGGGCATATTCGAAGTATCCCTGAGCGGCCCCGTCTCCCAGCTCACCAAGAAGATCGCTGCTGGATGGGGTAAACGGAACGCGCGTAGCGTCCTGACATCACGTTAACGAGCGCTTATTCCAAATAGGACTGGAACGCTATGGCAAGGGGGACTAGCAGCTATGGCGTGTGTCTGTTCCACTATACTCTAGATTCCAATGCTCTATCACACCCTCCTCTACTACACTTGACAGTTGTGCTCCTTACTGCAATTCGTACTCTACCCTACTCTGCCCTACGCATCTCTGCTCCACTCCGCTCTGCTCTACTCTTCCTCGGTACACCCCACTCAAATCAAAGCTATTATTAGTTCAATCCACTCCACTCCCCCCTACCCCACCCCACCCCACTCTGTCGTAGTACTTAGCTCTACGACTACGTACACTACTACTTCTACGAGTCATAATCCGGTTTTCCCTACTACGGATCCACTGGCCACACCAAGATCGTGCAGGGGACCCTGGGCCACCAGCGGCACCACCAAGATCGTGACGCTGGCGCAAAAAATACGCCGCAGACATGCACGCCAAATACGCCGACTACGTTGTGACGAAGGAGACCATGAGCTGAGCTCCAGTATGCGGTGGCAAAAAAAAAATCCGACGCTGTGCCTCTGGGCACGGAGTGGGCGTGTCCTCAGGTCCTCTCTTCCTCCTCCTCCTCCTCCTCCTCCTCCTCCTCCTCCTCCTCCTCCTCCTCCTCCTCCTAATCCCTGGAACCTCAGCCCTCTGTCCCGAGAAGTCTCTGACGGGCCCGAGCCCACATGCCCGAAGAAATCTCCTGGGCCTCGTCGCGTGCCCACGAGGGGCTCCAGGCGCGCCTACCCGCGCAACTTTTGTTGAGGCCCAGGAGAGGGCCCGAGGACGGGTCCCCAGATGGCTCCAAGAGGCCCCCAGAACGGTCCAAGCGGGCCCCGAGTCGCCAAAAGATCTGTGGGTTTTAAAAAAAGGAGGAAAGAAACGAAAAAAATTGTGCGTTTCGTTTACCCACAGTGTGTGAGTGTGTTTTTGTGGGTAGAAAAACATTCCAAAACACACGGTGTGGGTGCTTTTTGTGTGTTTTGTTTACCCACAGTGTGTGTGTGTGTGTGTGTGTGTGTGTGTGTGTGTGTGTGTGTGTGTGTGTGTGTGTGTGTGTGTGTGTGTGTGTGTGTGTGTGTGTGTGTGTGTGTGTGTGTGTGTGTGTGTGTGTGTGTGTGTGTGTGTGTGTGTGTGTGTGTGTGTGTGTGTGTGTGTGTGTGTGTGTGTGTGTGTGTGTGTGTGTGTGTGTGTGTGTGTGTGTGTGTGTGTGTGTGTGTGTGTGTGTGTGTGTGTGTGTGGGGTGTGTGTGTGTGTGTGTGTGTGTGTGTGTGTGTGTGTGTGTGTGTGTG